GTCAAGACAATGTTTTCACAAAAGTTGCTAACACTGTGTCCTAGAACTACTATAAAATTTCACATTTTTCGCAAAACACTGTCTCTCACGAAAATAAATCGGCTCACAGTATATCGTCATTTGGTTTTAATTAACAGTGTTAAAATAAAAACCTTGTACAGTTAAAATAAAAACCTTGTACAGTTAAAATAAAAACCTTATACAGTTGAAATAAAAACCTTGTACAGTATATGTCATGTGACTCCCATAATGCAGTGCAATGTTTTCAATAATAATGGGAATATTTGTGACACAAGAAACCTGTTCACATGATTTTTTTATAAATATTTATAAAATTCACATCTGAAAACTAGAGATTTCCATAAATTAAAAATAATGCTGGAATGTTTTCAAATGACGTTGATTGCCAGATTCAATTGCCAATGAATTTATATATTTATTATAATAATAATAATGAAATTTATTGTTCCAATGTGAACCAATAATAGATTATAAATTGTGTTTGCAAGAACAAAGAATTTTTTTGTTAATAAGACCTTATTTTGAAAATAACTAGAAATAGAATGAATGAATGTATGAATAAATAAATAAAAATGACAGAAATGGGTTTGTTGCATCGATAATATCTAAAATAAATATTTCCAGAAAATATTAGAGTTTAGATTTTCTGGAAAATATGTGTTGCGACTGTACAAATAGAGAAGTCCCTGTAGCTGCCATTGTAAATAAAAGATGTCCTTGAATTCAACCAGCATAGAGATAAAAATATACAGATGTCAATTACATCCCTATTTTGGGGCCTAATTAAGTGTTGTTATGAGAACAGATTGGGTCTAAAATATGGTTGAGTCTTAGCTTACATGTCAGCTGTACTGACTGTGTTAATAGCGGTGAACGGCAGTGACTCATTCAACAATGCTTACAGTTCAAATAAAAAACACACAACCATTTACAACCTACCTGGCAATACTGTGAATTGTCAGAATTCATAGCTACCATGTTATCCTGTTATAAACACAGACACTCACTGTGTACAGTACACATGTGTTTTGTTGATGTTCAAACTCATTAATATGCAAGACACAATGGAGGAATATACCAATTGTAGAGAGGGGTGGTAGCTTATAAATAATGTATTCTCACAGTCGGAGCTACGTCACGATCCCCCAAACGTTGCCAGGCCCAATCACAAACAGGAAAAGACAATGAATTTTCAGATTAACACCTCTGTTTTCCCCCACGCTAACGAAAACATCTTTTGTTTTCCACTGACTTCCTGTTCTGGTCCCTGTAAGAATGGGTCATTCTGTGTGTGACTAACTGTATTTGTTCTTGTTTCAGCTGGAAAAGGAGACATCCTATAGTCTGTGTGTCTTCTACAGTCTGTGTGTCTCCTACTGTTTGTGTTGTCACCTATAGTCTGTGTGTCTCCTGCTGTCTGTGTGTCTTCCACTGTCTGTCTCCTACTGTTTGTGTCATCTACATTTTGTGTGATTTTCTCAAAAATTCTGCAGCAGATATCAACATAACTTTGCTTGCTTAGTGAGTAGTTTTCCCATTATAGACATTACTGTAAAATACTTTTTTAATTTTAGTTTGAGATCATTTTTGCTGAAAAAGAATTTTGTTTATTTTCACTGATTTTTGATGAGCTGATGTGAAATATAGGAGACATGGTATATTTGGTTCACCTTATTTTCGCTATACCTTTCCTTTAAAATAAAGTACATTAAATCATAGACCTTAGAAGCTTCCAGCTGAAAAAGGCAGATGTTGTTACCATGGTAACAGCAATAAGATTAAGGATGAAATTCATAACATTTGATTTCACTATAATCCCTAAGCATAAAATAGTTGCATTAAAAGTTTGAACAATGAGGATTTATTAATAATTTAGCAGTTTGAGTTTTAGAATTTATTTTCAATTGTTTCTATTCCTGTCAGACTTTACTAGTATACTATCACATTCGATGAAATATCAACTCTTGTATTCTGCTTTGTCTTAATTTGATTAATTAACAAATGCTGTGTCATGAAATAAATCTCTCTACAGAACTCATTTTACCCAACCTCATTTTGGAGTTGACTGCTTAAAATGAATGAAAGAATTTATAACCAAATCCTGAATTGCAAAATTTTTTAAAATTAAAATGGCAATCTATCAAACACATGTGCACATAACATGACATTATATATAAAGTTTAAAGGTCGGAGGTCACACAGGATAGGGGTCTCATATGAATAAAGATGGCGACTTTGACTGTCACTTAGACCTACGAGTACAAACTGAGACGTTACCAAGCTTTAACTAGGTAATTTCTTTGGTGAATAGAATGAATCGAAGGACTCAACAGTAGTTAGTACACGTTGCACTCAGGTCAAAACTCGTACTCTTGATTTTCATTAGTTGTGTTCACGGTACACGAAGTACGGGCTAAGTTTTAAGCTGATTTAGGCTTATCTAGCATATTTGCATTTCGGCTAGACCCAATTGCGTCCACGCACAGGGAGGGCCAGTCGTTAGCACGGGCTAAGGGGTGCCATTAGTCAGTGACCTTTGGTAAGCCGCTATTTACGAATGAAAAATGGATGACACGCGCGAGGTTCTATTTCTGCTGCTGGCATGTTTCGTTCTAATTTTGAAGCGACGTGCACAGGAACGCAAAAGAAGACGGACCACTTATTTGGATGAACATAAACAGTATACAACGGTGTAACAGAAAACAGCGTTTTATTAATGCATGTCGTAGACAGCGAACCAAATTTATTTTGTCTACGATTGGAGCTGCTGTACGCTCTACTACAGTGACCCGATTAGTGTGGAAGTGAGCGCGGAGTAATGATTGGTGGAATAGTGTCGTTATACGAACATGGAACAATTTTCACACCCAAAGGTCGCCGCAGAGGGCGCTTAGCCCTGGGCTAAGCATTCGTTAGCCCGTGCTAAGGTCTAGACCGCGTCTTAAATTTGGATCAGATTTAACCCGTACTTAGCATTCCTTAGCCCGTGCTAAGCGTTTACGCACGTTTTCTTAGCACGGGCTAAGGAATTTGACCTCTTAGCCTGTGCTAAGGAGCTGTGCGTGAACGCAACTATTAGAAGAGCACATGAATCAATGTTTATCAAGACCATTGTGACATACAAGCTTGAGATGTACCTTATCAGATTAATATTAGCCATGTACATGTAGTATGGCAGTAAACATACCATAGGAACTGAGTCTGCAACAGTTTAACCTCAACCTTGAGATCAACTCAAGTAATACATTGACATAAAAAAACACTGTATCCTGCAGACTATCCAGTAACACAGGCATGGTATACTTAAATTGACAACCAATTTATCATGAGTTACCATGATGACACAGACTTGAGTAGTTTATAGAATCAAATTATATCAGTTTTTCACAATAGATTATTTTTATTTATTATTAATAATCACTATTATCATTTGAAATGTACCGGTAATTAAATTTAATTTTCAATTAAACGTTTCACCTATCACTTCACTCACTTGTTCTGTATGATTCACTTGTGTTTATTAGGAATTTACACATTTATCAAGGAAATAATAATTTATTTTATTGTAAATTTAGCAGATTTAAACTCAGTGAATATTTAATGTCATCACACTAACTGTGAAATATACATGTATATCTTTAATTCTCTACCTTATCGACCAATAAATGACCCCCAGCAACCAATCAATGACTTCCAGTGGCTATTCAATGACTCTCAGTGACCAATCAATGACTCCCAGTGACCAATCAATGACTCCCAGCGACCAATTAATGACTTCCAGTGACTAAACAGTGACTTCTAGTGAACATTCAATGACTCCCAGCAACCAACCAATGACTTCCACCGGCCAATCAATGACTTCAACTGACAACCAATGAACCCCAGTGACAAATTATTGACCTCCAGTGACCTAACATTGACTTCCACTGGCCAATCAATGACTTCAACTGACAACCAATGAACCCCAGTGATAAATTACTGAATTCCAGCGACATAACATTGACTTCTATCGGCCAATCAATGACTTCAACTGACAACCATTGAACCCCAGTGATAAATTATTGACCTCCAGCGACCTAACATTGACTTCCACTGGCCAATCAATGACTTCAACTGACAACCAATGAACCCCAGTGATAAATTATTGACCTCCAGCGACCTAACATTAACTTCCACCGGCCAATCAATGACTTCAACTGACAAATCAAAGGCTTTCCATTGAAAATGGTAGGAGATAACTGATTTCTTGGTGGTTATTCGATATAACCTGACGTTTTGTGCAATGAATATTTATTTATTTTTTAACTAATCATTGCCACTCATATGAAGACATCTAATAATTATGGATTGTCAAGACAGGAGAGAATGGTAGAGAAAAAGTTGTGTAAAATATAATTTAGTATACTTCTTTCTTTTGTATTTTTATATATTTTGTCATAGTTGTCTTTTGCTAAATGTATTTTATTCTATTAGAGTATAGATGAGTTATTATTTAGTATTACTGTACCTTAGCTAGGGTAAATTTGGTTCAATTTCTTTGATTGGTGGCAAGTGGGGGTAAAATGACACAAAATATTTGATATTGATATAATATACAAATAACAGTAAATGTAAGGCATTTCTGAAAAATTCAAAAATTAATTAACGGAAAATGAGAGATAATATGTAACTATGACAACAAGATGCTATTCCTTGATTGATTTGACACAAGTATTATCTCATCTGTACATTCAATAAGACAGGAAATCAATGTGACATCATTTTTATAAAACTAAGTCTAATTTCTGGCTTTATGTAGATTTTCAAGGTGTCATTTCAGTGGTATTAGTCACACAGGAAATTATAAGGTCAGTATTATAAATTATGGAAATGGAATTGACATAATAATACGTTATTGAATGAAATTCAATTTAATATTTTATGCCTATTTAATTTTGTGACAATTTGCAAAACAATAATAATTAATTACCAAAGCTTACCGGCTGTGGATCAGTTTCCTCTGTGGAGTCGTGCGATTCAGAGGAGAGTTCGGTGCCGGTACTGGTATTCCACATAATGCAATGCACACCTGAGTGTCTACATTCACACTGTACATACAGTGCAGTGATGACTCAGACAAGATTTATCTAAGATGCATGCACATTGAATCCACAATGCAATTACATGCTTAGAGATCAGTTATGATAATGAGGGTATCCTAGCAACAGCCAATCAAAGGAATGCATGGATGTCAATAGAACTAATGACTTAATAGTCTGACCTCCTGAAGGTCACACATCCTGGTACTTTCTGGTTATATCTTAACAGCAATAATTCAAATATTATTCATTAATTTTTGCCTTATTTAACTTTGAACTTCAATTGTTCACATTTTTAAAAGGAGGGGGATAATTATGGATTGTATTACAGGGCTACGCCATGATGTCACTGCATAATTAACTAAATTTATGATGTCACTGCATAATTAACTAAATTTATGATGTCACTGCATAATTAACTAAATTTATGATGTCACTGCACAATTAACTAAATTTATGATGTCACTGCATAATTAACTAAATTTATGATGTCACTGCACAATTAACTAAATTTATGATGTCACTGCATAATTAACTAAATTTATGATGTCACTGCACAATTAACTAAATCTATGATGTCACTGCACAATTAACTAAATTTATGATGTCACTGCACAATTAACTAAATTTATGATGTCACTGCACAATTAACTAAATTTATGATGTCACTGCACAATTAACTAAATTTATGATGTCATAAAATTTGGCTAAATTTCATCGTTT